CTATGTTCAATCTCTTGTTATGAAGAGTTATTGGGAGAGAACCGCTAGATGTCTAGGCGAGAGTGTCAATCTCGAACCGAACAATTGATTTCTCGGTTTTGCTAGAACTTGAATTAATTACCCCCGACTCCCTGGCTTCTTTTTAATTGTTTCGTTCATATTTCTTAAGTAGATTATTATTTGTATGTTATTTCTTAGCTCATAAATCCATCATCCTTATTTGATTAGTATGTTTAGGATTTTTTTTGCTTTTATGTGTAATCGATATCAGAACTAAATTTCGAACCACCTTCCTCGTGAGATCGACCCCGAGAACGAATCTTTCGATTCGATACTCGGTAAAAAAAATAATTTGTACACAACATGTAACTATGTTGTAGTTTTCTTGCGGCTGTGACCCTCAGGTCACCTTGTCGTGTACACTCGTCTTAGGATCTTTCTGTGGTTGGCCTGTACGCGACTTTCGTCGCTTCAAGGTTGTACTAATATTTGTGTGGATCACTGATTTCTACTCCCTTGTCTGTCGGTCTACTATTGACCGAAAAACATTCTTTCGCTATCTCTTTCTTGTATGTTAGCGACCCACACTCGTGTCCGTACTAAAACGTACGGTGTCATGTCTATCATATTTTATTAACTACTTTAGTGACAAACTTTTCTTCTGAACGATTCTGTTGTTCGGAACACACGCCTTTAAGCGTTCAAATCATCTTTCTTGATTATCTATCGATCTGTAAAACTGATGAGGACAACAAACAACGATGGTTCGACTCATCGTGACTCGGCTCCTGACGAGACGACACATTACACGCGGCATGCCACATGCGTTTTACCCACTACCTGGGGCCCACGTGCGCGGAACACCTAAATTTGTACCTGCATGCGATGTACTTGCACTGCCAATGACGCATGCAATCACAAACACAGTCACGTCCACGTCTTACGTTAGTAGCCTTAGTCTACCGCGACGTATGGCTTGAATGGCTCTATGGCCACTGATCCGAGGCGTACTTGGGCTACGACTAACGGAATCGGTGCGTTGACTGGTAGGTTGAATGGCCGCACGGGCATTAGGCAGAGCGCAGGGGCTCAACTTGGTCAGAATCGGTGCACGGACACGCACTCGATGGCTCGGCCCCAGCGATACTGCGGAAGTGGGACAAGTTTGCGGGACATCGATACATATTCAAGATACGTGCTAATGCACGTCGGTTGTGCTCAACTGCTTCTGAGTACAAGTCAAGGGTCTTACCGCTTAAATGGGTAACCTTAACCAAGGGCACTAAAGTCTTAATACTACGGCTCTTTGGTTCTACCTTACACAAGATCTCAGCTTAATACCAGAATACGGTTCCCCGCTGTTGAGGAGATCTTTTACTTTGCTCATTTGGACACTCTCCCAAGTTATTTTTATGCTTACTACTTGTCTGTTTTGTAGGCTCATTAACTATTAAACATCTCAAATATTGCAACAAGGACTAATGAGAGATATGTATAAAAGCATCAAACATTCTCAATTTTAATATCGAACTTCAGCATAGTCTCAAAAGGTGCAGAAATCCCCACGACAAGAGGTTCTAAAATGAGTTTACGGAATAGAGTTAATAAAACTAAACAAAATAAGCCCATGGACTTGCATCTTCTGGAGTTCAGCTCCCATTAGTGAAGAGCATAGACGCGCGCACTACCTTCTCTCTACTGCTCATGGGCTGGCTTCTCAGCTACCTCCATCTAGTTAAGAGTGTAGATATGTGCAGGGGATCCTCGTGGTTGGTTCTGGGCTGGTGGCCTCTGAGTTGGTTGTCTCGAGACTGGCAGTCTCTGGCTTTGCTGGGGCTGTGGGCAATCTGGGCTGTCGGCAATTTTCAGACCGGGTTTGTGGCAACGATAACATATGTCCTGCCCAGCTAGACACTCTCCACGGTGGGCACGTCCGCATGTGGCACAAACTGGTAGAGGCTGCTAGAACTGAGTTGGTGCTCGCAAGTCTGTGGTCGAGGCGGCGCGGCAGAGCTGCTTGTCGGTGGTAGGTCGTCGTGAATTCGCCGGGACGAAGGTGGTCGCGATAGAGGCTCGACTCGTGGGTACAACAGTTAGCCGTGGTGTGTGAGCTCGGGTCGCGGGGTGATATTAATTGAGTTATTTTCACATGTTTGTCTATTTTTCAACATCTTTAATCAGCGTCGTTCTTTTGGTCAAAACATTAAATATGAACATTTTAAGGCTAATTTGTAAACTAATTATTATTTTATTATAAACATTATTGTCATATAATGTCCTTATTATACACAAATGTTATAGAAGTTGTACGTCTTCTTTTTATTTTTATTTTATGTAATGAAAAATATTTACTTCACGTTAGTATTTTTTATGTATGTAATCAATTTAAAATATGTAAATAAATTTAAAATCGAATAGTGTATAAATATTTTTACAAAATATACACACATGTTTTTTTAGATTTTAATTTTGTATACTGACTAAATATATAAGTTTGGTTTAACAAATGCCAAAAACTCAATTCCTTTTATAATCAAGATTTTTTTTTTCAATTTGCATTATAACGATTTATAGTTTATTTAGCATACTCTGCAATGAAAATATATTTCACAATAATTTTATTATAGAAAGAAATCAAAATAAAAAATGATAAAAAATAATCACAGTTGCATGGTTAGGCATAGTTAGAGGTGTAGATTCTTTGATGAAGATGTAGAGTACAACTTGGGGACTGCCAATAGAAAATGAGAAAAATAAACTTTATGTGGAGGTGTTGGCATGGTGACGTGGCAAAAGGGAAAGTGGTTTATAAGGTACATATGGGAACCGAACTGGGGCTTAGCTCGATACTCACCTATCTTACTGGTTGGTCCACATATTAAGGAGCCCAACCATCAAGGAGGAGAGTTATGCATGGTATGGCGGGATAGCCTTGGGTGTAAGTATAGGATGGAAGATCGGCCAAGTGTCGAGATCTATGGTCTCGTCAATATGAGGTGATAAGAAGGTGAGCTAAACTCATCCACGGGAGGGGGACGAGCTTGTATAATAAGCTCGACAAGTGTTTGTAGGTGTGTTAGGCTCTTAGGGTGACGAATAATTGTTGTGAAGAGAGCTTGGCAGACAGCGAAGGACATAGGATCGAGATGCAGCTATTGCGAGTTGAAGACTAGGAGGATCATTAAAGACGACTGCCCAAGGATAGTCATACCGACCTGCATGGTGGATGGCTACCATGACGTGGTGGGTTTCGTGTGTAAAATGGAGTCTGATGCTCTGGGATCAAAGGATTTGGAATCGACTAGGATTCTTGGATTTTGGATTAGATATGAATTGTTGTGAGAATTGAGATGGACGGGGGAAACACTGTTGACAGATGGACGGGGAAGAACTCTCTCACTTCCCAGACGTCTGAGAGGGCACAATCATTTTGACTATAAAAGGGGACAAGTTCCTTTCTTTTACACGGGAGCACACATACACATACGCATCATATCAATACTCTATTATTTTTCACTCGGACATCCTACTGACCTGAGCGTCGGAGTGCTCACGCCGGGACCACCCCCGCGTGTTTTTCAGGTATCGGCGGTCGAGGAAGCGCAACCCGGTTCGAGAGGAACGGTCGAGCGGTTCGAGATTTCGTGGCTTAACACATGGGTATGTGAGCTCTACGTTCCTTTCGTCTTATTATCCAGATAGGTTTGGAACACTATTAATAAAATACAGCTACAGAGAAAATGGATTATGCTGGCTGTGGAGAGGAATGAGAAGATCTGGACCATCTCTTGTTTCATTTTCCAAATGGTGCTACTTACTGGAAATTAAGTTGTTTGGGTTGGAGTATATTGGAGGATTGAAAGACAAGTTTCTAGAGATGGTTGTTTGACATATGCACTATCAATGAAGTAAATTGCAAAACTGATAGGCTGCTAATATTTTGTGGATAATATCGAAAGTTAGAAATTCTTTGGTTTTCAATAAAGAGAGATTGTTGGAATAAGAGGTTGTCGATGGGGCAAGAGATGAATGACAAGAATTTATTTCAGTTTCTGAGGAGTTGGAGTAGGTTGGTAGGAATATCCGAATTTCAACTTCATCTAGATTAGAAATTTTTTTCAAAAATGCATGATAGGTGTGCATTTCTTTCAGTGCCTTGCTTTCTGCTAGAAAGAAAGTTGGAATGGGTAGTGTGGTGGAGAAGGAGGGACACGAGCTACACAGTTGGTCAAACTCTCTCGATTTTGCAACTAATTATGAGGAAGCACTTCTGCTTTCAGTGAGGTCGGGTCTTGAGAAGGCAATGGAGTTGAATAGAGGTAACTTACTTGTTGCATCAATTATCAAAGACTGGTTCAACAACTGCACAAAAAAATTATATTCTGCTCGAGAGTTAGAGTTATTGTTAATGATATTTTTTGTTTCCTGATTCTTTTCTTGGTTGTACATTTTTTTTTTTATCTAGGGGCTTGTAGTAATAGTTTAATCGTAGTTAAAAATGCGGTCGAGGCGATGTAACAATGTTCACTCCCCCGTGAATACTATCTCAGTTATGTTGTTTTGGGGTAGCATTCGTTACTTCCAGTTGGTTGTTCGGTTGTAAACGTTTGTTTGGGTTTTATGAAAAGTTGCTATGTCGTTGGACAAAAAAAAAAGAGACAAAAAGACAAAAAACGTGCTTCACCCACATCAAGAATAATATAATCAAGAAATAAAATGGATATTCTTGTGCACAAACCTCACCAAATCACTTGCGAAAGAGGAAGATAAAGCCAATTGATATACTGTACAAAAGTTAATAAAAAAAATATAAAAAGAGGAAGAAGAAGAAAGAGAGAGAGAGAGAGAGAGAGAGAGAGAGAGAGAGAGAGAGAGAAAGAAACTCCAGTTAGATTGTTGCTCTTTTCATATCACTTTAAAATCTGAGTGACATGCCATTAGGATACAGATACACACTTCCCTAATATCGATAAAATGTTCTCAATTTCATCCAAAAAATATTAGCCTATACTCAAACGATAATCCGAGGATCTTAGATTTGTTTGACGCCTCGGGACTCCGATTTCACAAGCATTCACTCTCGATGCAAACCGCAGTGAACAAAGTGATTCGCCCACGGATGAAGGATCGGGTGAAACATTGACGAACATCAATGTTTTTGAGTCTCCACCTAAGCAAGGCTGAAAATTTGAGGAAAAATAAAACAAGTGTAAGCATCGTTTGTATTGATTGACCAGAAGCAGCTCAGAGGTAACAAGTCATTGTACTGTATGATCGTACACATTACCTGGAGAAGATATGTCAGCTTGGAGTTCCTAAACGGCACGTGCTCCTCTTTCTTTGCTAGGGAGAATATGACGTCACTTAATGATGATAAACTCTTATTGATTGCCTGCAAAAAATATATATAAGTCGAGACGTATAGATGCGAAAAGACTTTAGGAAAGATACAAGGTTTAAACACAGAAAAAAAAAAGAAAAAAAAAATTGTGGCACCTGAGTTTCTTTCAATCGATCACCAGTTGATCCACTCTTGGAGAGACGCTCACTGCCAGCAAGGTCAATTAGATTAAGCACTCCTTGGACCTGTTGATCAGTGCTCTGTAGCACAATAAGAGACAAAAAAACGTGAGTGAGTCTCTACACTCGGCAAGTTTGAAACATGAGTTAGACGGTCAGACCATAGACTCAAAATGGCAATTACCTCATTCACACCCATTATTCGTAGAGTGAACACAAAATGGCTCCTCGAAGATTGTTCATTCATTTGAGTTTTGCCGACAGACCTAAAGAAGAGAAGCACAAAAACTAATGAAAAAACAGTATGAAATTCTAGTCTAGCAAGTAAAAGGGGGAAAAAGGCACGTGGAAGCTTAATAGAGTCAGAAAATAGATAGTTGTTAAAATAGATCATGATTATATTTTGTCCATACAAATAGATAAACCAAATTGATTGATGAAAAAGGAAAAGTATGCTTAGTTGAGAACCTGCTCTGTGCCGCCCTCTCCAAAAGATAAGAAACCTGCTTGCTACATCTGACATCCATTATTGTAAGATCAGACACATGCGTGTTGCCACTTGCATCATGCTTAATGGCATATTGCCTAACAGAATTATCTGTACGCGACGCATCAAAGATTGATTTGTTTGGTGCTAACAGGTCCCGTATAGTTTCGTTGTAAATTTCAAGCATGGATACCTGATAAAAGCATATAAAAATAGTGAATAGCTTAAAACAGAAATGCAAGTAACACTACACACGAAACCAAGAAATTCAATACAGACCTGCATTTCGTACTTCCACCCTTGGGCTTCTAGAATTTGCTTCGTCTCAAATACCTGCTCGAGGGATCGTGGGATCAGACCCTTCTGATCAGATGGCATAGGCTTTCCCATCATTGTGTATGTCTTGCCGGAACCCGTTTGTCCGTAGGCAAAGATACAGACCTGATTTGAAATGCAGTCGGAGATTAATAAAGTTTGCACGACAATATCACCATATTTTACAATAATATCTATATTTTTCTCAAAAGAATAAAAATTATAGATATGCTTAGTAAAATTTTCCCACCAAATATTATTACTTTATTTGGAAACGTAGCATTTCTTATTAAAAATAAAAACTGTTAGAAAAAAGACCAACCATTCTATAATTCTTATGGGGATTCCTAAATTAAAATGTCTATAATTATGTCAAAATTAAACAATTATAAATTAAATTATCATAAATTAGTTATAAATTATAAAATAATATAAAATTATGATATATTTAATGAAAAGCCAAAATTTAAAATAACGTAAAAACTATTTGGGTTTTATAGATTTGATACATATTTAATAATATAAAATATTGGATTTTTCAAATTTTATAACTATTGAGTTTTTCATAAACATTTTCAGAGAAACTATATATTGTTAATGAGAAGACACATAATAAATCTGTATCTATATCCATGTATTATCAAGGAAAAAGTTTATAAATAGGCAAAAAAAATCTTGTCTTTTTTATTACTAAATAAATAAGTATGCTAATTCTACGTAAAATTCAGTACTAATTGCTCATTTTTATAAATTGCAGAATCTTCTAATAAAGTTTTTCAACATCAACCATTACTTGTGAAGCATGAATATAAGGCACATATGATTTTGGGTTTACAAGAATAACATTACCTTATACCCATCAAGAGCACTCTGCACAAGCTGTGATATCTCCACGAAGACATCTTCTTGAGAGTTCTCAGGCATAAACACTTTATCAAAAGTGAAAGAATGCTTTTGGCCTAATGAAAAAGAGAAATAAAACAACTTTACAAGAATATCAACGGGAGCTCAGATTTCCAAATAACATACATTTTCAAGCTTTTGGGAAAAAACAAATTACCATTGTGTGACATATCAATTCCTCGGCCAAGCGCTTCCATTGACGTGGGGAACGAAACAACTTTAGCATCAGGTCCAACTCCATCATCAGACAAAAGAGGCCGAACTCGACAAAATACACGAATATTCCCCTTTAATTCCTGCATCAAGATTATTGTGTTTAAAATAATCTCTAAGAACTTTTGCTGAACTTTACATCAAGTATATAGAATTCTAAAAGATGGTACCAGGATAGTGTTGTGCAATTTCTTTCGTAGTTTCTCTCCTTCTACGATCTTTAGATCAGCATCAGCTAGCCGATTTTTCAATTCCAGAATCAATGCACTTTGCTCCTCGAATTCAGTTCTCGTGGCCATTGCCGACACATCAGACAGCTATTAGGGAAAAGGATAGAGAGACAATAAAATAATCGTAAGGCAAAAGTCATCCAAGTTCTAGATGCAGTACTAAATATTAATAAAAAAAAATACAACAGTAACCTGCAATTTCCTATCAGCAGAAGCAAGCTGCTCTTGCAATTGCCTTATTTGCTCACTTTGAGAAAAGCATGTTGACTGAACCAAAAGAAAAGGAATAAAAATGGGAGAAGGTTAACATTATAAACCTAGATCCATTACCAGGAAACAGGTATTTAAGGAATAAACCTCCAGTGAATTCGTTTTAGTAGTCAAGCTGTCCAACGCGGCAATGGATTTTCCAGTACATTCCTTGTATTTCGCAACTTCAGCGGATAAAATCTGGACCTGCTGCAAATGCCGATCACGATCATCTCTTACTTGCTGCAAATCACCTCTCAGACATTGAACCTCGTTTCCAATTGATTCCTTCTGTTTGATGGCCTCATCTTGTGAAGCCTTTCGAAATCAATCACGCATTAATTAAAGATGGTTAGGAAGGTCAGCAAAATAAACTTAGAAGCAGCATTTACATTACAAAGTATACAGTATGTCAGATGGCTCAATAATACAGCAACACAGAAATAACTTTTATTTGTTACTCTACATAAGTTCGTCGAGTGTGAAATTGGATATAAGATAAGTTTCACCATTAAATTTTATCTCAAGTAAAAGTATCACAAATGTAGCTGTGAGTTTGGCATGACAACTTAAAAGGAACCAGAGACTGATAAGTTAGTAGATCCAAGGTGCACAAATCCTTACAAGCATGAAACTGTAAAAGTAAATTCATTCCAATTCTTTGGTAACTTGGATCATGGGCAAGAAAGTTAGATGCAAGGTGCACAAATCCTTACAAGCATGAAACTGTAAAAGCACATCCATTCCAATTCTTTGGGAATTGGATCATGGGCAGGATTGCAAAGAAAGAAATTACGCTGCTCAATTACTGAAACTGAAACAGTAGAAAGGAGTTCTCTCCAGGGACTATCCTAGCAAACCAAGCTTGAAGAAAGCTAAGAACATTTCATCCTAGAGTAAAGAATAAATACGGTTAGATATTATCTATCTAACATTCAGAGAAAACGGAACAGCTATTTGAATTTATTTCGATTTTGATTCTAGTTCCCTTAAGCTTATTCAGAATAGACTGGTTATTGTTGGACCTTAACTTACATCCACATTGAAAATGAAATAAGATGCTTCTGGACACAATCAAAGTAAGACACATAAAAGCTTACACGCGATGAATTAAGCTGATCTTGCAAAGAAGTATAGTGGCCCCTAAGAGCGCTTAGGTTCTCGACCACAGCTGCCTTTTCTTGCTCAACACGTTTGAGTGTCTCATTTGTCGTATGAAGTTCTGACTGAAGTCTACTATTGTATTGTTGCAGACTAGTGTTGTACTCTTGCAATCGCTTGTACATGTCATTAAGCGATTGTATCTGCAAGAGAGACACAATTTTAGAACTACAATTTAGTTGAACGTGTTTAGAAACATGCGTGCACTTATATGTTCCACTACTTACCTTCTGGCTGGTACTAGCGTTATCTTGCTGAGATCTCTTTAGCTCTTCAGAAAGGGAAACCTGCATTCTATCAGCTGCTAGTCTGTATTCTTTCTCTCTACTCAAAGAGTCCAATGCTTCCTAGTTATATATCATTTGAAGATTTAGTTCACCATGTTTGGAAATAAAGTATAACCAATGCAGTATGCAGTGCATCACACGCTCCACATACCAATTTATCCACTTCCTCTTTTGTGAATCTTTCTTGCAGTGCCTCCAGATTTTTTCTCAATTCCATAATAATTGTATTCAGCTCGTCCTCCTTGGCCTTCATCATCGACTCTGGAAGAATGATGACAGAAGAACACAGCTTTTAACACTTTAATAAATATAATTTGTTCCTTACAGAACATTGAGAATGAGACTAAGAACCACTATTACCAATATCATTGCACTTCTTTTCCGCTGATTCCAACAAACACTTGAATTTCTCCTGTTCTGTAACGTAATTTCCTTCAAGGTCTTGAAACCACTTGATGCACTGTTTTAGCCTTTTAATGTAATCTGTCATTTGGGCACCTTTTTCCTGCAGAAGCATCAGATATCTGGACAATAAATTATAGCATTTGTGACATCCAAGCTAGCACACATCCACAATTGAACTAACTCCCGAGCTACATAACCTTGAAACTACGCAGTCCAAAGGTTGGACTGCCTTTAAAATAAAAATCTCCACTTTATTGTACCTTGTAGTTAAATCTGTTCTTAACTCTCAGCTTCTCATTTACCAATGCTTCCACATCCTCTTTGGTGAATTCAAGGACACCGCCACAGACAGAATCAGAATTGCTGGGCGGCGGCGGCTCACTAGTCGGAGGCAGATCTTGACTCCCATTTACAACGGCGAGTGCTTGCCGGGCTTGTGCCCTCGTTCCAGCATTAGGTGCCATTTTTGTATTTCCAATCCTTCTAAACTTGCTCTGTCGAAACCAAAGAAGATGTATCAGTGTTCCATGACACTAAACGAGAACCCCAAATTCTCTCCGATTCGAGGATTATTGAATAATAAGGGAAACAAAAAAACAGAAACAGTCACTACCTGACAAACTGCAACTTCTCTAAACTGACATATCTGTAAAATTTGAAGGAATTGAAACTCACTTGGGAAGGCGTTGAAGGAGGCTTGTTCTGGTTCTTGGAAGCCATATGAATGCGCGCGCGTGTATGCAGAGATGGAGATGGAGCGGGGAGGCTTTCAA